CCAATATTATCTGCAGACTCAAGCTACAGCACAAACATTTTAAACACATCATTTACTGCTTTGTATGGATATAGACATCCATTTTGCTTTCTGGATTAATATGATTACTAAAGTCTTGCTCTCTTTCCTCAGCAAAAACTTGTGGGCAGAGTCGTTATCAATTATACTTAATTACTCATCATGAAGTGGTTGAGATTGGCCAAAACTCAAAAGAAATTTCTTTTAGAGCAAGGCTAAGATAGGCAAGCAGTCCAAATAAGATGGCATTCCAGGTTGGATCAAGATAAAACGTAATACATTCGTTTTTTTAAGGGATGAGAAAAAGCTAGTTAGAGCTCATGGAATAAAGTATATCACTGTTGCAATCTAACAATTTATAAGGCAAGTCTACCAAAATGCCCAAAATGCCGGGGTTCAAACAGCAGGTCTGACACTGTGGGCCTTCATAACAGTGCTCAGCCATGTTGGAGCCTGACGCTAAAGAAAAATAATACTGGTCCTGCCTTTATTTAAAATTGTAATATTTTGTTCATCATGAATGTTTTTGCATTAATTTTATTTTTAAAAATATCACATTGAAACATTACCTTGGTTACTGATTTTCTGGTACCCCATTACATTTTGCACCCAGAAAGAGTGCCCATTCACCTCACTCACATCCTGGCCCTGCTAAGTCACCTCCCTGAGCTTTAGTGACCTCACCTGTAAAACTGAAAGAATAATAACAAAGAGGACTGTTGTGAGGACTGAGATAACATTTATATGAACTTGTTAATTGTAAATGTTACCATAGAAATACATTTACAAAGCATTATAAAACTCCCAAGATAAAGCTATTATATTAAACATTGTATTTAAGACATAAAAGGCTTATGGAAAGCATAAGTCTCAAGATTGATGACAGAAATTGAATCAGAGGCCTTAGAGGGATATGCAGAATTTAAGACACACCCATCTCTACAAAACCTTATTTAAATAAAGAAAAAGCTATACAATTGCAGCCCAAGCAGGCAATTTCCTTCTCAGTTTTCCTAATTAATCTTCATTTGTAAATTTCGTTTGTCTTCAGATTTTCTCTTTACAGTTCCTTAAAAATATTCAATTCACTGAAAATGAAAAATTAATTTAGGAAGAAACTCGTTTAACATTTTCCTTTTACTTAAAAAAAAAAAAAATTACAGCTCAAAAAACACAGGAGAAAGCCTACAAGTAGATGCCCTGCACATGAAAATTGTTTCTGAAAAAGTTGAGGACAAACCTTTCGATTCAAGGTAGGGGCACCAGGTCTAGGCAGAAATGAAGGTGAGGTATCTCCTGTTCCCGAGCTCATGATTGTTTCCAAGCTGGTGAGAATTCAGTGCTAATGGCATTTTAAAACATCACCTCCGAAATCCATTCCTCTCTTAGGATCTTACTTCCCTCAATGTTTCACATTTTCAAAACAACCTTTGTACATCACCTTTCTCACTCAACAAATTCTGAACTTTAGATCCGTAGGAAGAATTCAGTTCATATCCTTTCTTTTCCCCAGCAGGTTTTGATCTGGTGGGGGTGGGGCTTATATGCAGGAAGGGCTGTCCTACCTGGTTTCTGAGGGTAGGGAGAGGATTCAAATAGGTATTTTGGTGGCTCAACCCAGGCTTGTCCATTCCAACAGTCATTAAACAACTTTCCAGTGTCATTCAAAGAACTTATAACAGAATCAATCGGTTTTCATCCTATGCTTTATTAGTTGTGATTTAAGAGATAGAATGGTCCTGTTTACACAGCTGTAACATGTCAGGACCTGTAGTACATGATTGGCTTGAGGCCTCCGAGTTGTAGTCCAGTCTCAGCAGAATCAATCTGAACTTGAAGACATTCCCTCTAGGAAACATGCACATATCTACTAGCATAAAGTACTTGTACAACTGAAAATAGTATTCACTTGAGGTAAGTTGCAAGTTCACCTTCTAAAATCAGCCGACTTGTCATTGCTCTGGGCATGTTCACCATGGGAGCAGAGGGCTACAAATGCCTCTTAACTAGATACCCAACATGGGTGGAATGTGTTGTTACACTTTGCTGCTAGTCAGATCTGCGTCTGCAAGTGGGAGTTGCTGTTTAACATTCGTTCAGAGCACTGCAAATCTAAAATGGCTGCTCAGTAATACTTTAATTGCAGTTTCATGGAAACAAATTGCTATTTAACTGCAATAAGCATTTCTGTGACTTGGCTGGACTGACAATAGGTAAGTCTCAGTAACAAAGCACCAAGTCACATCTATTTGTAAATGGTCTAGGGCCTCTCAAACTGAGTCACAGGTGCACAAGCACCCAGGATAGAATCCCAGGTGAAGAAATCATTGGAAAAACTTCCCAATTTAAATACAATTATTTAGGCTACATGGAATGTCTTCACTAGTCTCTTGATATATATATATATATATATATATATATATATATATATAGCTCTTGGACTCAGTTATATAATTTATTGGTCCTAAGGAATATTTTACATAAATAGTGGTGTACATTAGAATCTTACTATATTGACATTTAGAGCCATTTAAAAGCTTCATTTTAGATGATTATTTGTTTCAAATACCGGTGTTAATAAGGGCAAAAGAAAGAATAGTTAATATTAAAAGGATGACAATTTCACAGGGTTCATTTTGGTGTGACAAGTTTTCTCATTTTGTATTTTATAAGACACTACAGTCCCTGTTAAACTGTTTCCTAATAAATCATGAGGAGTTGGAAACAATTTCTTCTGGCAAATCGTTTGGTTTGGAAAGGCTTCTTTCAGGCCCTCCTGCCTTTTGGGATGTGTAAATCTAACTAGGCAGGTAAAAAACATTCAACCCTTTCAAAGGACAATCTTTTCACACAACTGTTTCATTAGCAAGAGTGACAGTTTGCATGATTGAGACATTTATATGTATCATAAACATTTTTTTTTTAATCAGTTCAACAGAGCTCGGTAACATTTGCTTTTTAAATTGCACTTGCTTGTAGGGACTGTGGGCCATCTTGCTCTATGACGTGGGTAATTAAATAAGTCTTTTCAAACAAGCGAAGAATATCTCACTAACATCACAAATGCAATGATGAAAGGTGAACAAGCTAGTGGATTTTTTTTTTCTCTCAGCAATGTTGGGATTGGGGGAGGAACATAATCACTGCTCACATCAGAATAAACCTGAGTGTTTTTAGTGGCTTTCTATCCACACAGAGCATCCCCATTAGAGCTGGGTTTTATTGTTTGAAATGCCTCTGGTTTCAAGAAAGTGTTTTACCTAAAGCAAGACTACTACTTAAATATGTTCTATTGTATATTCATAGCTCCATTAGTCCTTCTCCAATTTAGCACATCAAAGAGAAGGCTTCATCACTTGCATGTGGATTATACTAACATGAGTGACATTTGTAATCTTATAGGTCTGCAACTTAAGAAATGCTTTTAGAAGCTCGTTATTAAATACGCAGTAGTGCTTGAGGAACCAGCCATATAATAGTTCATTTAAAGTCTTTAATGACCTTAGCCCTTCACATCACTAAATGCCACACTATATTACTTACTGAAAGTTATTAACTATCTCCTTTGAATTTCTACACTATATGGGACATGAGTGCTTATGCCAAAAAGAATATAGAAGATGCTTACATTCTTATTAACGTTTCCCTTTTTCTATCCCGAGAAGTCCAAGTTCCTTCAAAGTATCTTAAAGGAAAAAAAAAAAAAAAAATCTAAGAACTGGAACTAGTTCCTAGAAACTCCCCAAGGATCTAACTCACACAGATACTATTCTTTTATGTGATTCTGTTCATTTTATTTTTTTCCTTGCATTTTCTTTTTATAAAGCTCTAATGAAACGATTCACTTTAACTCGCAGCCTTTCAATTCTCCTACAGGAGGTTTACAGTTTGAGCAACTGATTTTCCTGCCTAGCCTGGAATCCGAAAGCAGTAAGTGCGCCCACTTCACAAAAGGGGAGCTGACTGCTAGCTGAGATGTGCCAAGCTCGACCTCTCTATAGAATGTATTCCTATTCTAAGAGAGAATCTGTATCTATCAGGAACTCTTCTGGGAGAAAATAAAACATGCCATTTTTAGAAAGAAAATTAAAACAGCATTATAAACACACTTGGTTTTATTGACCTGTGATGAAAGTTGTAGCTGAGGTTTGCTCACATACAAGGGGCCTGGCAGTGTAGCCTCTTTGGTCTTTCCCCCTTCCAGCACTGGCCGTGGACCCACTGAGTCCTTGGCCCACGCATGCTTTCCTCAGGGCACCTCTGCAGTCAATGCGGGCGCTGTTGGGGATACTCTGCTGCCTAGAACTAACAACTAAATAACTCAAGACTCCTATGAAATGAATTCCAAATCCTTCCCTAAACATATGGAAAAGCAGAGTCAGTAGAGGAGTGTAAGAGCAAAACAAAATAAACAAATCACACAGCAGACCACATGAGTCTAAAAGCTCACCAGGAAATGGCTGCTTCTCCCACTGAAGATGACTATAAAAGAACACTGGGTCCTAAGAACTAATGGAACTTCAAAATATGTACAGGTATGGTTTAGAAATACGATTTCCTTCAAAAACTATAAACGTGGTTAAAAAAACAAGATGGTTATGCCACATTCTTTAACGTGCTTTTCATCAATAGCCAAGGTTTTCCTATAGAGAAAGAATAAATGTAATAGCTGAAGAATCAAATATTTATATATAAACACAAAAGATTCACTGTGATATAGGAGAAGTGTAATGAAGTGCCGTTAACAGAATATTCTGAACTTATAAAAAAAGACTCCGTTAGAAACATTGCTTTGTACCCCTGCCAAAAATGGCATGGTTAAGTAATTTGAAGAATACCTTATTGGCCCAGAGCTAAATAAATATACATACCACCTCCCTCACCCCTAAAATTTAAAGTGAGCTTGGTATCAAACAAAAAAACCTAAATTTCCCCAAAATACAGAAGAGAAACAGCAGTGTTTAAACCCAAACTCCATCAAATATTTTTTTCTTTTAAGTTTTTATTACTTAAATACACCATACTAGAGCAAATGTCTCTGAAAATATCACAAATAAAAGATTTTTTTCTTCATTCAGCAAATTAGAAGTAGGGGGAAATTTCTACACAGTAGCTGTTATGAGCCTGATTTTTTTTTTCCAATTTTTTTTCCTTTTTTGTTTTTTTTTTTTTCTTCGCCATGGGAATAGCAACATTAGGACGAAAACACTTACATGCATACATACATTGTATTTTACAGAGATACAATAAAAGTGTTTGTGATAGAATATCACAAAAGCCACATCTTTTTCCTTTATCTCATGTTCAGTTTTGATTGAAACACATTTCCTTACAACACTTAAATATACAAAGAGCAAATAGAATGTTGTTAAGGTAAAACACAGGGTACAAACTCTGGCCAGTGCCCTGCTAATTGTTAATGAGGGTAGAAAGCAGATTTGAATGCTTCTTTTAATTAGCTTCATTAGTCATTTCCCTCCTCCCAAGTTCCCTCCCCCCAAGATGTCCTCCGGTGGGTCTTTTTTCATTTTCTCTACAGTCTCCCATTAGCCCAGGTTCATGGAGTCCTTAATGTTCATATTCAGTCATTTTAATACACCAATAAATGCAGGAAGGGCAATCAAGACTAAAGAAGGTGCAGTGGCACGGAGCTGGCACTGGTGCTAGCTACAAAGGTGACTTGTCTACTGAAGACACATGGGATCCACCTGTGATGAACAAAATCTGAGATGAAGGCACGCATTCTGCATTACTCTGACCTTTTAGCAGACCTGCAAGAAATAAAAACGGGCATCTTAGCTAACATGCTAAATTTGAGCGATATTATACTCCAACATGACTGCTTTTGTCTTCTCTACATTCACTAATCTTCTTTTATTAGATGACTTTCCAACTGTGACTTGATGGAGGCTTTCTACGCTACTTACTCTGGCAGTGAAGAACTAAAGCATAACATTTTCTGCAGTTTTACTAGCAGAGAAAATGAGACAATAAATGGACTTTCAGAAAGTTTCTGGTGTAAAGTTCTAAAATGAATTGCTTAACTGGTAAAAGCGAGTTTCTTCCTGAACGGAATGAATTATATACAGCATCTTGCCTAGCAGTCGAACCTTAAAGGCACATTCAGAGCCAAACCCCACGGACACCCCGGGAAGTTATGGGTTAATATGCTCAACTGTGTAACCTCTGGGAAGTTACTTAACCTATCTCTCAGTTTCCTCATCTTTAAAGTGGGGACAATATGGCTGTCATAAGGATTACATAATATATATGGAGTATTTTCAACAGTGCCTGGCACTTAATAAAAGCCTAGCAGACACTGGTAGTTATTATTATTCTGATATCCCCACGAGACATCTATTCACCTATGCCCTTCTCTACCTATAGGTATGTACCTGCATGCGTATGCGTGTATATGTACACACACATACATACATACAAATATTCAGATACTACTTTTCACTTAGTATTTCCTATCTGTTATGTCACTTAATGTTACATAAATGTCCCAAATATATGAATCAAACATATGCAATGTGTTAATCACTTATGATCAATTAAAAGAATGTAGTTCAATGTCTAAGTTAGAAATGATAACCCACATAGTCATCAGATACAATCTGTTTGCAATTACCAAAATGAAATAATATATATTAGGTTTTTATGGTTTTAAATGACATTTTGAGCTTCCCAGGAAGTTCTCGTTTCACTCTTTCCCTAACTTACTAAAAGCCTGAAGTCTATTAGGAACTGCAACCCCCCACTTCCAAGCTAATTAAAGTGGTGGAGGCTTAATTCCCCAGAGTGGAAGCTCAGTGTGAGAAAGGTAATTTGTCTGTCCAGAACAAAGATGCGGCAGCAGCCAGAGAGCATATTTAATAAATGAGCATCAAATGTCCTCTACGATGGACACACACACACACACACACACACACACACACACACACACAACACCAATTATGTAACTACAGGGGGATTGGGAAGTGATATGTAAACTAGGACACAAGCTAAATTTTCCTCCAACTAAAGAGGTGTGATCTCTTATTTTACTGAAAAGCGCAGATAATTCTAGATGGAATCATCACTCGTGAGGGGAAGAAAGAATTCCAGAGCAGGCAAAATTTTACAAAAAAAGAAAAGAAAAAAAATTTGCCACAATTCCTGATTGTATATACGTAACTCTCTAGAAGGTAATATCCTCCTTAGGATAGCCAAGCCTCCTTTAAATGATATAGGCTATAACCTTTTGTAGATCTTTGAACACTCGTGGTCTGAGATTTTAGCAAAGAGACCATATGATTTAAAAGCTTAAAATCTTTTCTCAGAATATACAAAAGCCAGTGATGCATAGTAAGAACTAAACTACACATCCCAGACACTGGGAACAAATTTCAGGAGGGTAAAAGTTTCAAGGGGCCAGATGATGGGGGGGGTAGGGAGGGGTCTTTACTTTCCATACAATTAGCTGCCTGTAAAAAAGGGATTACAAATAACTCCTTACTTTTAAGCCAGAGGATGCTTGGGTATATTTATTATGCATCATGTACTAAAAACGTAATTGGTTCTGCGAATAGAAGGAAAACGACCAAAATTAATGTCCAATTTTCCCTACCAAAAATATGGAGAAGGAGAGAGAAGAAAATAATAAAATGGAGCTATTTGTCATTTCTCCCCATCTCATCCTCCAGAAAAAGAAACGCCAGAGGCTTTTGGAAAAATAATTTTAAAGCATTCTCCAGGTCCAAAAAGCCGTTCCACCAGGAAGTGTGTTTTCATTACCTCTTCCCCCTTGCCCTCTCATTAATATCTCTCTGGACCCCTTTCGGCTTGCCCAAAACCTTTATTTACAAAAACTACCTTGTGAATTGACTGTGCTCATGGTGAGCTCAGCACCAAAGGCAAAAATGTGAGCCGTTTCTACCAACAGGGAAATGTTCTTAATTAACATCACCCCAAAACACAGCTTCTCACCAGCGTCTGACAAGAACATATCCCTAAGTTGTATTTCCTTATGCCTTTTAAGAGCTATTAATTTTTGAAGCCCACCTGTCTCTTTTGGCTTCCAACATTAAAAAAATATACACCGGTAGGTTCATATTCATTGCCTAATATGGTTTATGTTCCGAAACGAACACCCTACCTTTCCCCACCGGGAAAAAAGGTGTGGAAAACAGAAGACTTATATGAAAGGCACGGTACACGCAATCTTGTAAACACGTAAACCAGATGTTTATCCAGTTTTCCTCCCAAGCACCTCTAAATTTACATCATCCTGTGCTCAATAAGATAGTACTGCTTATATTTCTACCACGTCCTTTGCACCAAGTCCCTGGCTAACATTGCTACTGCCTGCATTCAATGCTTCAGCTTAGCTACGTTTTCCATCTTGTCTCCCCATCCTTCAGTTCTCACCGTGCATATTGCTAAGCGGTAACAATCATTTTTTATACTTTGCTAAGTCAGGGGAAGAAATGGTATAAAACCAGCAACAAACTTAAGATAGAATTGGGAGGGACACTAAACTGTTACAATGGAGGGGTGGGGGAGAAATCAACCATTTTATTCCTAGCTCATTTTTCTTTGAGCTACCAAGTATAACTGCAAATGGCTTTGCCTCTAAATAGAAATGGGTATCTCAAAATATTTATGTTACCCATTCATTGTTCTCAACTCGGCCCTACAGATTTACCTCATTACAATTCAAACCATAAAAATCTGTACATATTTATATGTATTGGCATTCCTTAAAGCAGCTTGAAATCAATGGTGACTGGTTAATTTGCAATAAAAAATTAGACTTCTATTCTTAAAATGGTATTTTATGTAGCTTCCTGTCTAAGTAAATTAAAGTGCGCATACTGTGATGTAATTAACATTTACTTAATAAAGAAATGGAAAACACATTTAAAGTTATCCCATAAACTTGAGTAAGGGAAAACGATAAATATGAGCATTAAAAAATATGGTAGTATAATTTTAAATGGTTAAAAACTTTCAAATATTAGCCATTTCCCCTACACATAGCATTAAGAAAATGCATTACAGAAGACAAAGGAGCCTAATATTTTTTCACGAAACTTTTGAAGCTTGCTAAATTCCTATTTGCAGATAAATATTGTTGTTTTTTTTCTGTGATTCTTACAACAGACATTAATGAAGTTCCTATTGTAAATCCATAAAAAATTACCAAGTGAAGTGTGCACTTTTTGTTTCAATGCAATAACTCAGTGCTGTGTGATTGCCTGGGTTAATGATGAAAAAGTCAAACATACTATCAGAGCTGATGGAAAAATCTATCACCAATCTGAAATTAAAATTCATCTGTGGTCAATAAGATTTAATATCCATGCAAGTGGCGCTGTAAAGAGTAAATGAATCAATGTCATCAATACATAATCAGTATGAAATATGATGTGAATAAAATTATGCACACGAGTCATACATTTCACTCTTTTCTGGGCCAGTGTGGAATGAACAGTCTCTTAACTGAAGGTTGACAGTAATTGTTACAAATTAGGCACAGCAGTTATCAAAATGCACTCACTTGCATAGCTATAGGACTTATTAAGGAGATTAAAATAGATCTAAAACTATCCAGTACTGGGGGTGCTGGACAACTGTTGATCACCAATTTTCCCTCTCAAGTGCCTTCTAATAGTACATGACTTGTAAGCTTGTATAATCTCATTTCTAACCCTGGTCTAAAAACTTTCCAGTTGAGGATGAAGAATCAAGACACATAATCTTTAATGGAGATATTATTAGTAGCCCAAAGCGATTAGAAAGAGCTAGCTCTTCATTTTAAAAGTCCTAACTTATTCAAATTTTACGGGACTACCAATCAACAAAAATGCTCTCCTCTGGAATTAAAGAATAGTTTGTAAACCTGCTTTTCTAAAAATAAAAGCACCGTAAATTGGGCATGGAAGGCAGGTGTCCAGACTGCTATTACTAATACAGAAGTCATTCTTTCCTGACAAAG